TCATTTCAACACAAACAATAAAATACCAGGTAGCTGCCTATATAAAAAGTTTGACCATATTTTAAACATTGTAAAGGACACAGAATTTGTAAAGATATTGCATGTTTTTAACTTTAAGATAGCATTATTACATGAACAAAATGGAAAAGAAATGTGTACTATATCAATCATCCCTTAAACCAGGAATGAATAATGGGAAACAAACAAAAATTCAAAACAGCAAAGATATGTAGGTTTCCAAATGAAGGAAGTTTGGAGGAATTTCTAATGAAATATTAATTATATCTTGTGATATCCAAGATTTTCCTATGCAAATGCTGATATTTGACATCAAAAATACCATTCTGTGGTACAAGTGTTAAAAACAGAAGCAACATCACATAATCATGATTCATTTTCCCCAAGGATAAAGCCTACACCCACTAGAAGTTTATTGTATGAATTTCAGGCTTTAAAAAGAAACAACCTCTCACTTCCAAACCAATAGATCCCATTTTCTTCTCTTGGTGAGCTGAAAGTAAAGCAATCTAAGCCATTGTCTCAAAAAAATCTGTTTTTCAGATAACCATTGAAAAATTTGGAAATGCAACATTGAAAGTCATGCAATCCCCAAATCATTTACTAAGGAATTATTTTGATCACATTAAAGTAGGTTGAGCACTGAAATATCAACTATGGTGCTTTGCTCTAATGTTTTTTAAAAAGCTAAACAACAATCTAAGTCTATTCAAAGAATTTAAGAATAAATCTATAGAAATATGACTTGCATTGCAGAATTAAAACGGTTGCTTTGATTCATTTATGGAACAAATGAATTCTTTTATGCAATGAATTTGTCAGCCTATTTTTAAAATTTCCATATACTGTATTTATATTTTATGAATGAAGTCTATGGATTTGATTTAGACTATTTAACAATTATTTAAGCCTCTTGCAACCAATATAGCTAAATTAGTGATGATGTTGACCAATTTTTCTATTGATTTCAGTGAGCTGTAGCATGGCTAATTTAATCTGGATTCTATTTACAGTATATTAAGAAGTGCCAAAATCATATTTCAAAGGCATTTTATCTTCCTCTTAGTGATTAATGAGTGAAATCCTGTCTATTTGTTTATGTCAAAAGGATGAAAAATTTATAGCTCAAAAGTCAGAAGGGAATGTTTTCTCTCTCCTGCCCTTCCTTGTCAAACAATATGCTCTCAGTATGCTACATAGTGATTTTTCCGTTTGCTAATAAGCAGCCATGTTTTGACAAAAACGAACACAATGTTGCCACTTCAATTTGGAAGGGACAAGTTTTTCAGTATTGTGAGCGATGCACACCATTTGTGAGATCCTTCCCCACCCCCACCCCCAAAAAGCATTGCCTTATGGAAGAGTATCCATAATTCTATATTATGAATTTTTGTTGAGGCACATTTCCATTCAGAGACATGTCACGCATTGATAGAACCTAAGAGAACCACTTTATTTCAGCAAAGTACAGCTGAAAACCAGCCACCCATATTTGAAGTTGATCACCACTCATTGATTATGGATTACTATTTCTGTACTATAAACAGCATGACTTAGCAGTAGGCATGTGTGTGTGTGTGCACGCACACACACACACACACGGACACACAGTAACAATTGCAAAACAATGCCACCTACTGTGTAAGTGCTGGTTGGCTTTGTAAATTAAAGTTTGGGTTGTTTTTTTTTCTTTCCTTTGCTGACTGACTGCAGAATATGTAAAGACAAAACAGCCTGGCTTGTCAGAGCAAAGCAGTTGTAAACAAATGAACGGAAAACCTATGTGCAGTTATTTACTGAATAGAACTACACTGTTCTTTTTTGTTACATGAATGATTTTCATTCTGAAAAAGAAGCTAGAAGAATAAGATTCTCACTGATCTTTCAACTGAAAGGTAGACATTGCTATAATAGTCACCATGCAGCAACAAATGCATAAAACCACCTTACAGCTGATCTATATGAACTGTTTATCGTGAACACTGCCTGGTAAGATTGACATGGAAATTCTATTAGCTGTAATGAGGAACACATTAACAGCAGAACTAAGAAAATAATTTAAAGGAATTAATAAGACTCATAGTTCTGCCCAAGAATATATTCATATACTGTATACAGGTAGTCCTTGAGTTACAACCACGATTGAGACTGGAACTTCTGTTCCTAAGCAATGCAGTCAATAAGTGAGTCACACCCAATTTTATGACATTTTTTTGCCATGGTCATTAAGTGAATCCAGCTTCCCCCATTGACTTTGCTTGTTGGAAGCCCTCTGGGAACATTGCAAATGGTGATGACCCTGGGAAGCTGCAACTGTCATAAATACATGCCAGTTGCCAAGTGCCTGAATTTTGATCATGTGACCACAGGAATGCTTCAATAGTCATAAGTGTGAGGACCGGTTATAAGTCACTTTGTTCAGTGCTCTCATAACTTTGGTCATTAAACGTATGGTGTAAGTCAAGGACTACCTGTATCTGACTGGATTCTGACCATGGACACAAGAACAAGAACCACAACACATGAACTTTTTTTATGTTACATCACCTAAAATGGAGGGGGGGGGGTTACACTTGTTCAAGTATCTCAAAAAGTCAAGACTTAAATCAATAAATGAAGATATAGACCAGTTATGCATATTTGATTAACCTGTGTATTTGACTTTTTCAAAAATCAGCTTAGATTAAGTTCAGGTTTTTCAAAGAGAATTCAAAACAGTCATAGTTGGCAGAGGAAAACTGCAGCAGAAAGTATATTTGACTTGTACTGAAGCCATTTCAACTTTGAAATATTCATGAGATAAAAGAAGCAGCTCTCATCAAGCGTGTCCAACAATCTTTGGATGATACCTCTTACTAAATATTGTTTAAAAACCTTGTTTTTAATTAAACAGATCACACGGGTAAATATAACTTTACCATGATATTAATTTTTTTCCAGGACTTCTTTACAACCAGTGAATATAGCATATAAGCAATTCACCTTTGCCTGAATGGCTTTGTAAGCCATTACAGTGGGTTTACTTTCCACTAAGGGAGCCAGTGTTTGAATAATGTGCTTTTCAGCATTCAAAGTAAATTAGCATCCTGTTAATAAGAGGCAGCTTATTAAGTGAAACTTCATGTTTGAAAGCATGAAATGCTTTTTAAGGTCCAGTGTTATTTCAGTTGATAAGTGCATCTTTCCCCAGGATCCAGAATAAAACACTAGTTTTTTTCCCCCACTGTGTAAATAAGGCCTAGTGTGTAAAGGGAGAATTCCCCAAATTGGTATTATCCTGATGTGCTGAGATACCAGAATTCTTAGCCAATCTGTTCCCTTTAAAAGCCATAGTATATTTCTTTTATATGGTAACTGTAATGCAGTTAATAGTTTTTCACATCCCACCCTTTCTTTCCCAGTGATCAGATATATTCAAGGGATAAACTGATCTATTTCTAATCTGAGAACAGCCACTGAAAAACAACACAATTAGGTCAATGGACTTAACAAAGTTATTATTTTCCTTAAATTTTTAGTATTTATTTTCAATGGATATCAAACATAACATATACAGGTAGATGCATTTAGATATTAAATAAAAAGACTATAATTTGTCTTTTTGTTTTTATGGGAGGCAAGCATTCAAGTGCAAAGCTTATTCTCCCATCTCTAATAACAGGTCAGCACAAAAATGTAGGTCTGAAACCCAACAACTCTTTCAGCATTTTTAATAAAGGCAAGAAGAAAAGCTACTCCAGCTTTGCTTCTGGACATATTCTCATCATCTCCCTGAAATGATGAAGAATGACTGCAAAATCAGTGTTCCTGAACCTGTGAAAGCTTGTAACCACTTTCAGTCACTTTAGCAGACTTTCCTAGCCAACATACTGATATCAGGAGTTCTGATGGATGAGGTATAACCACCACACATTTCTCTGTCACTCTCCATGCATTCTTTTTTATGGATAGCTGTTCACTGTTAAATGAATTCATGGGAATAGCAGTGCAGGACAGCAGTGTCTAGAGATGACCGGGGGGGTGGGGGTCAAAACAGGCAAGGGAAAGGAGATCACATCCATCATCACCCCCCGCCCACCACCACCATCCACATTCATGGACATTGTTGGCAGAAGTCTATCCAGTGTGTGTTCTTTTCTGGATATAAAGTCTCAAGTTCAAAAGGTCAACAGATTTCAAAGAAGGTTGGGATTAAGGCTGAGATTTTCTTCCTTTTTGTTAACATAAAGCTAAAGAGGATTCCAAATCAAGCTCAACTCCCTGTAACTATATGGATACATCCATGCAACTTTCATGGCAGCAATTTAGAAATGATTTACCTTTCTCCATAATGTTCCCAGATGAGCCGACATCCCAAGAATACCCTGGTAGTCTCCCGCCTAACTACTAACCAGGCCCAACCATGGTTGGCTTGAGAACCTTCATAAGATTGGCCAGGTGCTGCCAGCAGCTAAGCTACGTAGGCAACGAGCTGGATAGCAAAACAGATTCACATTCCAGAAGATGGACTGAGGTAATGTGGATGCCAGGTATCATATCACGGAAGATGGCCCCTAACCTTTTCTTCTTTCTCTCCATCAGGCAGTATGAACATGGCTGCTAGACACTCTGCTCAAGCACTGTTGAAACGTTGTGGTGCTCACATAGACGGGTTTTCATAGTGCTTAAGATCAGTTGTCATCAAGATAATTCGGGCAGCACACGCAACACAACATAGTTAGCTATTTAAAAAATGAAAACATGGAATCTTTGGCTTCATTCCAACGTAGAGCCAATTCATATGCAATTCGAAACCGTGGTGTGACCCTGGATGACCTTGTTTTAAATCAAATAACACGGCAAACGATGGTTTGCCAAAACCTGAAAATAAATTACAAAAAAATTACAGCACTTAAGAAGGAAGCATGTAATTCTGGATCTTGATTTAAATGAGCTCATACGCTTAAGCATCCCAAATCCCATTCCCCGTCAACAAGATTGAAGAGACTTAAAACTGTTTATATGGAAAACATTTTAACTTTTACAACACAGTGCTATATGTGTAACTTAACAGGCCAATGGCTTTAGATAGGATTCTAAGCTTTAAATGTTACCCTCCTTATCATATTCTAAGTGGCTCCCACCAGCCTGGGGCAACATTTAAATGAGCTGATGAAGCGTAATGTGCATTGTCAAGTTTTCTTTATTAAGATACTTCAAGTGTTATCCAGGACTTCTGAGGAGAAAAATATTAGTAAGTCCTGGATAAATCTAAAATTTAGCCAAAACGTGAACTGGAAAATGAATAGAATTGAAAACAATTTGGTATTCCGATGGGTACTTTCTTGCCACTGAATGTCTGATTGAGTTATACGAAAGATTCACATGGTCTACAGCCTAGGAGCAGATAAATACTAATACATAAACTTAATAGCAAAAAAATATATATACATATAACAATTTGTCCTTCTATGATCGATATAAATGATGTATATTTTCATATGCACGTGCACATGTATATTTATGTATATATGGTGATACATATTTCAACCCTGGAGTTACCTCCTTTCCACATCCTGACTGTGGAAATGGTTTGTGATGGAAAATAACCTGTATACATTTAATCTGATGCAGAAAACCCACAGAAGTGAGGGACAGCCTCTTGCTGGACTGAGCATCACATGGTAAGGTCATGCTATGCCTGTTAGATTTACCAATGGTTTGGGGCTTCATCACATGGGCCTTCACGCAATGCTGGTGGGTAGCAGACACCACTACCATTTCCTTTAGTTCACTGATGCTAAGGAATATGGCAATTTAATTTTTACATCTGCTCTTTCTGCACACTTTCTCTCTCACACACATACAGTATATATACAGCTGCATATATGTTTGTATTGGTGTACATTTCCATATAGACATATACATTCATAGGCACACACATTTCCTTCTCTCTTTGGAAGAGGGTTTTGCAAGATCTGCCAACAAACTCTGCAGTCCTTATTGGCTATGAGCTTCAAAAGGGACTCAAGATATCAGGTTCAGTGTCCTTGGAGTAAAAGCTAATGTCACCGTTGTGGACAGAGAGTGGGTTTGATGCATCTTCCCTTGTGGTGGACTAAGTTGGCAGGGCAGTGGCATCCCGCAACACATGGCTTATTGCAAGGACCAATCTCATTCCAGTTGTCACAAGTCTTCACACAACCAGGACCGCATGTGTTATAAACTGCACCGTGTTTACACTGGGTTCCTGGAAGACAGGTCAAAGATAGAGTTTTACAGTGTCCACTTGGCTGGATCTACAGTTAGTCATCATCAGAGTAGATCCATGGAAATCATAGTCAAGATACCAAACTAGTCATTACAAATTATTAGTGGAATAGTAAATATAAATGAAAAGGTAATGAATTTAAATTAAAAGCCTTAGCTGAATGCATTTTGTCATGGAATATGATAACCTCACAACTTTGACAATAACTTACAGTGTTACATTTGAATGTGCCTTAGTCTCAACCGCCTTCTTTATTTTCCAGGGATTTGCGGTACTGATTATATTACCATACAAATACTGGCAAATATTATTACAGCACCTTCTATTAACTCCCAACTTTCTCCTTGGAAACATTACAGAGTATTTTTTACTGGAGAGTTAAAAATTATCAGTGGAATAAGGAGAGAAAGTATTCCACTCTCAAAACTTTGCGTTGAGTCCAAATTCTGTTTCTCCTAGGAAGACAGAAGCCTCAGAAGCTTCATCCAACCCGCAAAATCCACAGCATCATCTCTCAAGCTGTCCTTTAGGGTCTCCTATTCCTCTGCACAGATTCAGAGGGGGAAAGGGGACAAGGGGTTGCACAGGGAGGAAGAACGAATAAAAATGCCTCTTCTGCCATTCTGTCAATAGAAATCCTCCACTGAATGCAAAGTCCAGATGGCAGCTTTTAGAAGCTGGAGTCATCCCAAGAAACAGACTGGCAGCAAGAACAAGGCAGGCAATAATGAAACATATAAGCAATAGGGTGGTTTTTTATTTTATTTTACAGCCACCACATTGGAATAGGGCTGGGATATATAAAATTGTCATTGCTTTCCTTCTCTCAAACATGATTTCTGAAAGGGAATAATGTTTTACTTGTTACAGATAAATTCTCTGATCTCTGAAAGGGAATCATGTTTTACTTGTTACAGATAAATTCTCATCTCATCTCACCTGAATGATAAGCTGTATCCTTGCTTAAAAAACCCACAATTCAAAATGCATAGAAGATTTTGTCTATTGTACTTTCATGCAGATGTTTTCTGCTCTCTTTTGAAGAGGGTTGGACATGAAGGATACACTGAATCAATGGCTATTATTTAAAGATCAGCTTCTAAAACTAGGGAATAAACTGCACTTAGGGAACAAGACTTGACCCACACATGCTGCTTTATGTTACATAATCACGACATTGCCAGATCATTTAATGTAGTTCTCAGTTCTCTGACCAAGCTGCAGTTCCTAAATTATGCTCCCCTAGAATCATCTCCATGTGTCTCTTAAAAGCCTGCACAGAAGCAATACTGCAGTTCTCTAGCCGAGTCAAATGAGTCCAAAGACTTGTTCAAGAATTGCTGGAAATGCATACATAGCGAGCTTTTCATTTGCTATTTCCACAATGCTGCAGTAGAGAAGGGTTCACATGTGACTTAATGGGCAAAGTGGTATGCAGGATAAGAGTGCTTGGAAAAGAAGTCCTCCTCAATTGTGAGCAGTACTCCTCACCACCAAAGGCCTCTCTTTCTATTGATATTGGCAACAGTTTGTTGAAATGTTTTGGCATTTCTTTTCCTGTTTTTCTCTTTCATTCCTTCCCCTCCCCACCAAACAAATCTGATCCCTTTAATAGCTATGCAATTGGAATGGTTGTTCTGGGATACCAGTTTAGTGCAAACTGGTAGGAGTTGCCAGAAGAACGAACTTAAGGAAGGAAGGAACTTAAAACCTGGATGCCAAGAATTTGGGACTCTAACAAGAAGTTTGAATAGTGGGGGATAACAAGCTCTGGAGAAAGCAAATGGGTGGCAACTAAGGGAGAGGTAAAAGTATCTGTTGTTAGACAACTCAGAACCAGTAAGGAAATTAGAATTAAGACCTCTGGGCAAGGGAGGGGGTTATCCTAAGGAACAGACACAAAAGTGAAATTCAGAGGAGTTAGGAGAGAAATAAAAAGCTGGGGAACTGAGCCCAAGAGAAGTGCAAGAGGAAAAAGCCTACTCATGAATAAGAACAAGGCAAAAGAAAGCATTAGGCTTTTCTTCCTGCAGAACTCTGCCCGCCCCCCAGGTTCCACTCTCTGGAGTTTGGAAAGGAACAGCCTGGGGGTTGCAAAGGAATATGGTGTGTGTGTGTGTGTGTGTGTGGCAGCAATACTTGAACAAGAATGGCTGGAAGCTTCACCAGCAAGGGACTCACCCAGTGAATCAGCTGGGGGTAGACTGAGACCTGCAGAGCAGAAAGGACAAGCAGACTGGATGGGAAAAGCCAGCTGGGGATCCAACCCAGGAAGAGGAATCAAATGAGCGGGAAGAAATGGAGAATGAGAAAAACTCCTCCAAAAGACCTTTCCAGGCTGTTGCCTCTGGTATTTTTATAAAGGGGTTGGGAGGAGAGTTGGATTGTTTAAATAGGTACTGTGGCTTTGAAATGGACTGCACCTTTGAGAAGACTACCCAGTCACTTGGTGGTTAGTGAGAGAAAGAGGGTGAATTGCTAATTTCTCCTCAAGTCCTCTTGGCACCATATTCATCAAATTCAATGGCTTAACACTGTTGAGTTATTTTTATATGCCAGGATGGTACAGTTTGTATGTCTGTAACATTGTAAATATTCACAAAAGTTTTGATATTTTTATTTGAATTTGAAAAGGAGGGGAGGAGGGAAATTGCTGTTTGGAAACCACACCAGGATTTGTTTAAAGTAACTTGCAAAGGAGCTGAAGAAAATTCACTTGGGAGATCTCGGGGGGGGGTCAGCTTCTTGAATCCAGAAGAATAGCTTCTGTGTTACAACAGTGGCCACATCTGTTTATGTCACAACTCTCTAAATCATTCATTATTTTCTTGTTTCTGTCTAAATATTTTTCTCTCTCTAAAAACGTAGCAACTGGAGTTAAACAAACTACTCCGGCTCTAAGCAGAGCAGCAGCTGAATTGCTGTTGTTCCTTTACGCTTTACGGCTGGGCACATGGCTGAAGAGTCTTTTTCAGCCCAGGAGACACTTATTTTCAATGTGACGTTTCAAGAGGTAGAAGGCAGAGGCAGGCATGGGCTGAAAGTGGGTAGAGCCAAACAAAAGAGAGTCTATCCCCTTTTTCCTCCCAGCTTAATTTTCACTCTCTCAAGGTCTTTCTTCTTCATGCAAAAAGATTTTGCATGATTTTGATTTCAATAACTGTGGAATGCTACTTAGAGATGCATGGTACGAGATAGTATATAAGACTGTCCAAATTCTTAGCAGCTCAGACACCGATTGTACAGGATGGCAAAGGTGGAAACTGATTAAACACGTCTGAAGGGCACCCTACCCTGCTACGGTACTGCTCATGTTATGCTTGTTTCCTGAAGGTTATATTTATACTTGATCTGATCTGTATTTATTTGAGTTTCCCTTGGTGGGTACTCATATACTCCTACTGAGCTGAATTCAGGAAGTATTTGCCTATATCAGGGCCACAAACATTTCTGGTACAGTAAGTGTTAAGACTGACTTCCTTTTGCTATAGCAGATTAATAATACAACTATCCCTCTACTCCTTTAAAAAAATCAGGTTTAGTTTCCATATTTTAAGTTTATGGAGCTTTCTTTTCATTCATCTTGTATTTCTTATGTCAATTTTGTATGTCAGTTCCAAGGTCTTCCAAAGAATATTCTCTTCGTTATCATAAACACAGAAGCTCTATTGCCCTTTGCATCTGCCTTTCCTTCTGACTATAAATGCTTGTGCAATTCTTCTGCACGTTGCTGTTCCTGTATTCTGTTTAGTTCACCTTCCAGTTCGTTGCTTCTTAAGATCAAGGCCAATAACAAAGGGAGCAGAAGATGAATTTAGCAATCCATCTGAGACTAAAGCCAGACTTTTTTTTTCCATATGCACATCTGTCTTCTGCTTCCCACTTCAAATATTACATAGTCATCTGCTTTATTGCTTCCCCTTCTTTGCTTTAAATATTAGCCTGAGATCAGAAGTTAAGGAGGAGAGTTTTTCTCAATGCCATGTTAAAAAAATGTGAACGTGAATTATTTTAGTAAGCTCAAGAGGCAGAAGCAAAGCCATGAACAAGTAGCCGAATTAGTTAAGCCTCTCTGTGGATGCTGGGAATGCTACAATTAATGTTGGCATTTGGGCAGCGTGGAATGAATGCTTTTCACTTTTCACCTAGGGTTTTGAAAGCAACGCTGTACCTCTCATCTCAACTACAAGCACTTGAATTTAAATTATTAGCAGGATCAGTATACTAGGCAATGTTGATTTACTTATTTATTCCTCTCTCCTTTCCCCCTTCCGATGAAGGCAGATTTATTACAGCTGTACTTCCATATGAGCTAGAAGCAGAGCAGGAAATGTTATTAATCAGCCAGAATAATTCCAGCCTGGAACTCGGCAGTCCTTCCACTAACTGCTACTCCATTCAACAGGCAGACTTGGTGTGTGTACAATATGAAGTAAAGAAACTGGGGAACAGAAGCAGGGTTTTGCACGTGTGAAATGTCTTAAACCCTCATGGCTGCAATGCATGAAATGGCGAATCCCTTACCAGCACAATTTTCTTCAGGTTTCCAATGGACCTTCAGACCTTCCCTCTGACAAGCTCTGGCATAGGCTAGAAATGACTCACAATAGCAGTTTTTATGGACTGGGCACTCGCACATATCTGTCACGCAGGACCTGCAAGAGAGAAAGGAGTGAATGGGATCCCTGAGAGCCCAATTTTTAGAAATAGGTAAAAACAGTCACATCAAGTTTCTTCTATGAAGACCTGCATTCATAGATATTAATGTTGTTTCTATAAATGGTTTACAAACAGAATGGGACTTTCCAATTCCTCTCTGCATCTACAACCCTCTTGCCCGTGCAAATCTACATCTGCAACCTTACTAAAACCTCGGTAAACTTGTTTTATTTATCTAAACTACCCAGACGATACATAGTGTGACAGTATGTGTGATCCGAGAAAAAATTTAGGGTCCAAACTTTTACATTCAAATGTTCACGGTAAAACGAATACTATTTTTATTTTATTCAATTTATATGGCTGCCCCTCGCACCACAATGACTCTGGGCAGCTAACAGCAGTTAAAAACACAAGCAACAGTAAAATAAAATAAAATAAAATAAAATAAAATAAAATAAAATAAAATAAAATAAAATAAAATAAAATAAAA